TCTATCCTTATGTTTGTACCACACTGTCATGATTACTGCAGCTTTGCATTAGATTCTGAAATTGGGAAGTGTAAGTCCTTCAACTTTGTTCTTTTTCAAGATTGTTTTGGTTAGTCTGGGCCTTTTATATTTCCATATAAAATTTTAGGATCAGTTTATCAATTTCTATGAAACAAGAAGCTGATACCTGCTAGGGATTGTCTTGAATCTGAAAATCAATTTCAGGAGTATTGCTATCTTAACAATATTATGTTTTCCATCCATGAGCATATGATGTCTTTTCATTTGTTTCAGTCTTCTTTTTTCCAGTGAAGTTTTGTTGTTCACAATGTACAAGTCTTGTTACAGTCGGTAGCTAGTCAGACATGAACAGGGCAGGAGACACCAGGAAGGTCAGGCAATCATCAGGTGATCGTCGGGCAGTTCTTAATTGTTTCTCTGAAATAATAATCAGTCACAGCCAGCACCAAGGAAAGACAACCTCTCAATAGATAGAAAAAACCCAGAACTGGGTGACCAGCAGCTTCCCAAAAACATCTCAGGAGTTGGGCAAGTGGGCTTAATCATGCACAATAAGAGACAAAATGGCGGTGTTCAACTGGTACATGACCTTCCTCTAGAAACTGGTAAGGGAATGCCTCAAGTGAGCATGTGCACAATTTCAGTAAACATGCTGCACAGGAGCCACACTGTGCATGCAGATAGCTCAGCCCAAGGGAGGAATCAGGGGAGAAGTAATGCAAGAACCTAGACGTATGCCAATGTATAAAAAAACCCAAGTCAAAAGGTCAAATGGCACACTCGATCTCTCAAGTTCCCTGCTTGGCCCTCTTCCAAGTGTACTTTACTTCCTTTCATTCCTGCTGGAAAGCTTTTAAATAAACTTTCACTCCTGTTCTAAAACGTGCTAGGTCTCTCACTCTGTCTTATGCCCCTCAGTTGAATTCTTTCTTCTGAGGAGGCAAGAATTGAGGCTGCTGCAGACCGGCAGGGATTAGCCTCTGGTAACAGTCTTACATTTCTTTTGTTAGATTTATTGCTAAGTATTTTATTGTTTCTGACACCTTTTTAAATCCAAGAAACATTTATAGTCTATGCTCTCTAAAGCCTGCTACCTGAGGGCTTCATCAGCACGATAAGAACCTTGGTATTCATAGTCTCTTATCCTTATCCAGACATTTCCTTTCGATTGATTTCAAGTCCAAACACTTCAATCAATTACCAATGAGAAATTTTTTGAATCCACCTATAACCTGGAAGCCCTCTCATATTCTTTCCACTTGTCCAGCCTTTCCCAGCCACACCAATGTACATCTTACTTGTATTGATTGTTGTCTTATGTCCCCCTAAATGTATAAAATCTAGTTGTGGCCTGACCACCTTGGGCACATGTTCTCAGGGCTTCCTGAGTGCTGTGTCATGGGCCATGGTCACTCACATTTGGCTCAGAATAAATCTCTTCAAATATTTTACAGAGTTTGACTTTTTTGTTGACATCTTGTATCCTGAAACCTTGTTGAACTAGTTAATTGGCTCTAAAACTGCTTTTTGAAAGCCTTTATATATATATATAAAATGTTATGTTATGGGCAAACAAAGATAGTTATTCCTTTCCAATCCAGATGCCTTTTATCATGTTTTCTTCCTTAATTGCTCTTATTGAAATTTGCAATACAATGTTTAACAGAAGCAATGGAGAGAAAAATATCTTTACCTTATTCTTGCTTAGGAAGAGAGCAATCAAGTATGATAACTCTGGAGTTTTCAGAGCCTTTATCAGAAAAATATTCCTACTTTGTTGTCTTTTTAATTATGAAAGAGTATTGGATTTTGTCTAATGCATTCTCTACATCTATTGAGGTAATCGTGCAATTTCTGCTCTTTATTCTACTACCCTGGTATATTTCGTTGACTGACTTTACTGTGTTAAATGACCTTGCATTCCTGAAATAAATCCCACTTGATCAAGGCATATAATCCTTCCCACATGTTGCTGGATTCAGTTCAGTTGTTTGTTGTTGCTATTGCTGTTGTTGTTGTTGAGACAGAGTCTCACTCTTGTTGCCCAGGCTGAAGTGCCATGGTGTGATCTTGGCTCACCACAAGCTCCACCTCCCAGGTTCAAGTGATTCTCCTATCTCAGCCTCCCGTGTAGCTAGGATTACAGGCATGTACCACCACATCCAGCTAATTTTTTATTTTTAGTAGAGTTGGAGTTTCTCCATGATGGTCAGGCTGGTCTTGAACTCCCAACCTCAGGTGATCCACCTGCCTCAGCCTCCCAAAGTGCTGGGATTACAGGTAGGAGCCACTGCACCTAGCCATAATTTTTTTTGTGAGGAATTTTTTTCATTTAGTCATAGGATACATTTGTCTGTACTTTTCTTTTCTTGTAATATCTTTGGTTTTGGCATCAGAGTGATACTGACCTCAGAGCATGAAGAATTACCCCCTCCCTTCCGTTTTTTGGCAGTTTGTGAAGTGCTGTTTGTTTTTTTAAAGTTTGGTATAATTTGCCAGTGTAGCTATCATCACCTGCACTTTTCACTGAAGAAATAATTTTTTGTTACTAATTCAACCTTTTACTTGTTATAGATCTATTGCAATTTTCCATATCTTTGTAAGTTAGTTTAATCTGTGTCTCTCAATAAGATTTTCTGTTTTGTCTAAGTTAGATAAATTGTTAATATACAACTTTTCATAGTGTTTCCTTATATTCCTTTTTATTTCTGGAAGGTATATAATGACATCCTTTATTTCATTCCTGGTTTTAGTAATTTTAATACACTCTTTTTATCTTGGTTAATCTAGCTAAGCCTTGTTCATTTTATTGACATGTTTAAAGAATCAACATTTGGTTTTTGTAGATTTTACCTATTGTTTTTCAGTCTTTTAATCCCCAGTGTACAAATCGAGAGGTGGGAACTTTAAAAGGTGATTCGCTCCTGAAGGCTCTGTTCTCAGGAATATATGCATGTTGTTATAAAGGGAGTGGTTTTCTGATAAAAGGATGATTTTGGCCCTGTTCCCTTCTCCATCTCTCATCCATGTGATGCTTTCCACCATGCTAGAAGGTCCTCAACAGATGTGTCCCCTCAATATTGAACTTGCCACTTGATCATGGTATATAATCCTTTCCACGTGTTTCCAGATTCAGTTTGCTGATTTTAGCCTCCAGCACCATGAGCTAATAAATTTCTGTTCTTCATACATTACCCAGTCTCAGAATTCTGTTACAGCAACACAAAATGGACTAAGACAAGTGCTGTGCTCCACAAATTCATTCAAGGTTCTAAGTTTCTGGCAGCTCTAACATCCTCAGCTGGGAGCATAAAGGACACTATAGGTGTTGACGTTCAGTGATGATGGAGGCTGACACCTAGTCAAAGGCTTGGAAGCAATATAATTACTTATTCAAATTCTATTGGCCAAGACTCAGGGATATAGCCATACCTAACTAAATAGAGTGGAGGAGAATTTGGAAATGTAGTCTCATTTTATAGCAGGATGAAGAGGAAATGGTTTTGATGATTGCTGCCAGGCTGTGCCATAAGAAATTTGCAAAAGTGGGGGATTTTGAGTAAAATGTGTACAATATACACATGTATCTCCAGGCTTCCTGAGAGAGGCAGAGATGTGGGAACATCTGGCCTGTTGGGGCAGACTTTCTGAAAGGCAGCTTTCTAGTTGTGATTCTTTGTATTCATTCATAGCATTTGGTTCACATTACAGCTTATGTTCTGGGAAGAGTGTGTATGGAGCATTTGGCATCAGACAAGTGCCCAGAAGACTGACACTTCTCGTTATAAATGATCAAGTTGGCTTTCTGTGGAACTAAGTCTTCAGTGTGTATAGTGTGAATCAGTTGCTCACAGTTAAGCTGATCATTAGTGTTCTGTACGTGCAGATCATAAATGCCAGATTCAGCAGCATGAAGGTAAAAACAGCATTGAGATTATCCCATCTTCCTACTTCACATTAAACAAGAAATTAAGTATTATTAATGGTAAACAAATTAAGGCTGTGCACGGTCTCTCACACCTGTAATCCCAGCATTCTGGGAGGCCTAGGTGGGCTGATCACTTCAGGTCAGGAGTTCAAGACCAGCCTGGCCAACATGGTGAAACCCCCGTCTACTAAAAATACTAAAATTAGCTGGGTGTGGTGGGATATGCTTGTAATCCCAGCTACTGGGGAGGCTGAGGCAGAAGTATCACCTGAACCCAGGAGACAAAAGTTGCAGTGAGCCAAGATTGTGCCATTGCACTCCAGCCTGGGTGACAGAGCAAGACTCCATCTCGGGGAAAAAAAAAAAGAAACTAATGTTGGTTTGTGTGTGCTCTCAACCTTGAAGGTTGGTCTCCTAAAGACAATGATCATAATCAAAATTTTGTGGGTGAGTGGAATCAGGCAATTGGTGTTTTCTGGAGAAGCTGCTAGAATTTTCAAGCAATGTTTCAATACTTGGTACCCAAAGAAAGCATACTTTTGTCCTATTAAGAGTTTTCCTTTATAACAATGAAAATGGCCTTGGTTCCCTTTCCAGAGAGATATTTGGAACAAGCGTCAGCTAAAAGTAAAGAATAGGGATGTGTGATTCCAACCAACTCTCTGTTCTTTACTAATAATAACTGATATTACTAGTAAATGATAACCAATTGGCAAGAACTGTCAGGGCTGATGTCAGTGACAGACCATCCTCTGATGCCTGATTTTCAGCCAGAAGCATCCTTCTCCATTCTCTCCTTGCTTGTAACATTAGAGGTTGCAGAGATCCAAAATATTCACTGCCATCCCTGCCCCTACCCCAGTTCCCAGTAAATAATACAGTGGCCAGCAGAGGGTTAAAATCAGCTTTATTAATGGATTGGAGAGCACAGCTGGGATCTGAGGCCTAAGAGAGGTTCCTTTCTTCTTCTTCTCTGAAGTGACGGCTCCTGAGCCCACTGGGTTGGGCCTACTGAACTTACGCACCCAGTCACAGATGGAAGCTGGAACATGGAGAGCCGAGTCCTGGCTGAGCTCACCACGGGCATGTTCTGCTGGGTCTGTTTACTGCATGGAGACTGGAAGCCCAAATGCAGGTCCAAGAGAAAAGGAGAGAGAGAGAAAAGAAGCAGGAGGACAAGTAAGCAGGGACCTTTAGCACATTATTTCTGCCCAGTAGAGAAAGATGGCCCAGAGGGACTCAAGCCCCACCAATCACAACCACCCCAGAAGTCACCCAAGGGGTGGAAGCCTCTCCCCAGTAATTTTTCTCCAGGGTGGGAATGTTAGTTGGAGATTCTTCCTCTATTTGGCTAAGGAGAAAATGTGGAAATAAAGCAAGAGTTTCCTCCATGCAGTGAGGTTTGGTCAGGAGTTCAATGAACTACTCAATGAGTAAGTGGCCAAGTGCCATTTTGTGTGAGTCTTTTGGGTCAGCAGATGCTATACCAAACAAAGGCACTGGCTTGAGATGTTGGAGCCAGAACTATAGTTCCATAGGATACCTCACACTTGAATGCTAATTACTGAATTCCTTTTCTTGCCTGCAGTCTACAGCCTGTACTTTTAAGGACTGCTGAATAAAAACCTGACACACAAGAAGCCACCACAGCGGAGGGCTAATTCTGCTTGACCTCTATTATATTCCTACAATTAAGAGAACTTCCCCCCATTTTGTTTCACTCCAGGTAACACATTGTGGTTTAACTGTCAGGTATGGAGTTGGTAGTTCTGCACCAAAACCTAAGCAGAAGACATGTCAAGGCTACACTGGGCAGAGGGGAGAACAGAAGTGGAAATGTGAGATCCTTCCAGGGCACATAAACGCATAGAGAAGTTTAATGGCAAGCGTCGCAGAGTTGAGTCTGATGCAGCTCTCTCCTGCGCAGGAGACCTTTTCTGGTCAGTGGTCATATTTTCTTAAATTGCATTTTAGGTTTTGGGGTACATGTGAAGAACATGCAAGATTGTTGCATAGATACACACATGGCAGTGTGATTTGCTGCCTTCCTCCCCATCACCTATATCTGGCATTTCTCCCCATGCTCTCTCTCCCCAACTCCCCGCCCCACACTGTCCCTCCCCTATTTCCCCCCAACAGACCCCAATGTGTGATGCTCCCCTCCCTGTGTCCATATCTTCTCATTGTTCACCACCACCTATGAGTGAGAACATACAGTGTTTGATTTTCTGTTCTTGTGTCAGTTTGCTGAGAATGATGTTCTCCAGGTTCATCCATGTCCCTACAAAGGACGTGAACTCATCATTTTTGATTGCTGCATAATATTCCATGGTGTATATGTGCCACATTTTCCAAGTCCAGTCTATCATCAATGGGCATTTGGGTTGGTTCCAGGTCTTTGCTATTGTAAATAGTGCTGCAATGAACATTCGTGTGCATGTGTCCTTATAATAGAACGATTTATAGTCCTTTGGATATATACCCAGTAATGGGATTGCTGGGTCAAATGGAATTTCTATTTCTAGGTCCTTGAGGAATCGCCACACTGTGTGCCACAATGGTTGAACTAATTTACATTCCCACCAACGTGTAAAAGTGTTACTATTTCTCCACATCCTCTCCAGCATCTGTTGTCTCCCGATTTTTTAATAATCGCCATTCTAACTGGCGTGAGATGATATCTCAATGTAGTTTTGATTCACATTTCTCTAATGACCAGTGATGATGAACATCTTTTCATGATTGTTGACCCCATGTATATCTTCTTTTGTAAAGTGCCTGTTCATATCCTTCACCAACTTTTGAATGGGGTTATTTTTTTCTTGTAAACCTGTTTTAGTTCTTTGTAGATTCTGGATATCAGCCCTTTGTCTGATGTGTAGACTGCAAAACTTTTTTCCCATTCTGTTGGTTGCCAATCCACTCTTATGACTGTTTCTTTTGCTGTGCAGAAGCTGAGGAGTTTGATTAGGTCCTATTTGTCTATTTTGGCTTCTGTTGCCAATGCTTTTGGTGTTTTGGTCATGAAGTCCTTGCATATGCCTATGCCCTGAATGGTTTTGCCTAGATATTCCTCTAGGGTTTTTATGGTGTTAGGTCTTATTTTTAAGTCTTTAATCCATCTGGAGTTAATTTTAGTGTAAGGTGTCAGGAAGGGGTCCAGTTTCTGCTTTCTGCACATGGCTAGCCAGTTTTTCCAACACCATTTATTAAACAGGGAATCCTTTCCCCATTGCTTGTTTTTGTCAGGTTTGTCAAAGATCAGGTGGTTGTAGATGTGTGCTGTTGCCTCTGAGGCCTCTGTTCTGTTCTATTGGTCTATATCTCTGTTTTGATACCAATACCATGCTGTTTTGATTACTGTAGCCTTGTAGTATAGTTTGAAGTCTGGTAGTGTGATGCCTCCAGCTTTGTTCTTTTTGCTTAGAATTGACTTGGCTATGTGGGCTGTCTTTTGGTTCCATATGAAGTTTAAGGTGGTTTTTTCCAGTTCTGTGGAGAAGGTCATTGGTAGGTTCATGGGGATAGCATTGAATCTGTAAGTTACTTTGGGCAGTATGGCCATTTTCACGATATTGATTCTTCCTAACCATGAGCATGGACTGTTTCTCCATTTGTTTGTGTCCTCTCTTATTTCATTGAGCTGTGGTTTGTGGTTCTCCTTGAAGAGGTCCTTTACGTTCCTTGTTAGTTGTATTTCTAGATATTTTATTCTCTTTGTAGCAATTGTGAATGGCATTTCATTCCTGATTTGGCTCTAAGTCTGTTATTGGTGTATAGGAATGCTTGTGATTTTTGCACATTGATTTTGTATCCTGAGACTTTGCTGAAGTTGCTTATCAGTTTCAGGAGATTTTGGGCTGAGACGGTGGGGTCTTGTAAATATACAGTTATGTCCTCTGCAAATTGAGACAATTTGACTTCCTCCTTTTCTATTTGAATACCTTTGTTTCTTTTTCTTGCCTGATGGCTCTGGCTAGAATTTTCAATACTATATTGAATAGGAGTGGTGAGACAGGGCATCCTTGTCTAGTGCCAGATTTCAAAGGGAATGTTTCCAGTTTTTGCCCATTCAGTCAGTTTGTCATAAATTGCTTTTATTATTTTGAGATACGTTCCATCAATACCAAGTTTATTGAGGGTTTTTAGTATAAAGGGCTGTTGAATTTTGTCAAAGGTCTTCTCTGCATCAGTTGAGATAATCATGTGGTTTTTGTCTTTGGTTCTGTTTATATGGTGAATTACGTTTATAGACTTGCATATGTTGAACCAGCCTTGCATCTCTGGGATGAAGCCTAGTTGATCATGGTGGATAAGCTTTCTGATGTGCTGTTGCAATTGGTTTCCCAGTATTTGATTGAAGATTTTTGCATCTATGTTCATCATAGAAATTGGCCTGAAGTTTTCTTTTCTTGCTGAGTCTCTGCCAGGTTTTGGTATCAGGATGATGTTGGTCTCATAAAATGCTTTGGGAAGGATTCCCTCTGTTTGGATTGTTTGTAGTAGTTTCAGAAGGAATGATACCAGATCCTCTCTGTATGTCTGGTAGAATTTGGCAGTGAACTCATCTGGACCTGCACCTTTTTTGGGTGATAGGCTCTTAATTGCTGCCTCAACTTCTGCCCTTGTTATTGGTCTGTTCAGGGTTTTGACTTCCTCCTGGTTTAGGCTTGGGAGGATGCAAGTGTCCAGCAATTTATCTTTTTCTTCCAGGTTTACTAGTTTATGTGCATAGAGTTGTGATACTCTCTGATGTTGGGCTGTATTTCTGTGGAATCTGTGGTGATATCCCCTTTATCGTTTTCTGTTGCATTTCTTTGATTATTCTCTCTTTTCTTTTTTATCAATCTGGCTAGTGGTCTGTGTTTTGTTGATCTTTTCCAAAAACCAGCTCCTGGATTCATTGATTTTTTGAAGGGTTTTTTGTCTCTCTCTCTCCTTCAGTTCTGCTCTGATCTTAGTTATTTCTTGTCTTCTGCTAGGTTTTGAGTTTTCTTAATCTTGCTCCTCTAGCTCTTTCAATTTCCATGATAGGGTGTTGATTTTAGATCTCTCCTTCCTTCTCACATGGGCATTTATTGCTATATATTTTCCTCTAGACACTGCTTTAAATGTGTCCCAGAGATTCTGGTATGTTGTGTCTTCGTTCTCATTGGTTTTGAAGTACATCTTTATTCTGCCTTCATTTCATTGTTTATCCAGTCAACATTCAAGAGCCAGTTGTTCAGTTTCCATCAAGCTGTGCAGTTCTGAGTTAGTTTCTGAATTCTGAGTTTTAACTTGATTGCACTGTGGTCTGAGAGACTGTTATGATTTCTGTTCTTTTGGATTTGCTGAGGAGTGCTTTACTTTCAATTATGTGGTCAATTTTAGAGTAGGTGTGATGTAATGCTGAGAAGAATGTATATTCTGTGGATTTGTAGTGGAGAGTTCTATAAATGGCTATTGGGTTTGCTTGGTCCAGGTATGAGTTCAAGTCCTGGATATCCTTGTTAATTTTCTGTCTCATTGATCTGTCTACTATTAACAATGGGGTGTTAAAGTCTCCCACTATTAATGTGTGGGAGTCTAAGTCTCTTCGTAAGTCATTAAGAACTTGCTTTATGTATCTGGGTGCTCGTGTTTGGGTGCATATATAGTTAGGATTGTTAGCTCTTCTTGTTGCATTGTCCTTTGACCATTAGGTAATGTTCTTCTTTGTCTCTTTTGATCTTTGTTGCTTTAAAGTCTATTTTGTCAGAGAAAAAAATTGCAACTCCTGCTTTCTTTTGCTCTCCATTTGCTTGATAAATCTTCCTCCATCCCTTTATTTTGAGCCTTTGTGTCCTTGCATGTGAGATGGCTTTCCTGGATACAGCACACTGATGGGTTTTGGCTTTTTATGAAATTTGCTAGTCTGTGTCTTTTGATTGGGGCATTTAGCCCATTTACATTTAGGGTTATATTTTTATGTGTGAATTGATACTGCCATTTTGATGCTAGCTGGCTGTTTTGCCCATTAGTTGATACATTTTCTTCATTGTGTCGATGCTCTTTACCATTTGGTATGTTTTTGAAGTGGGTGATACTGGTTGTTCCTTTCTATGTTTAGTACTTCTTTCAGGAGCTCTTGTAAAGCAGTCTTGGTGGTGATGAAATCTCTGAGTACTTGCTTGTTTGTAAAGGATTTATTTTTCCTTCACTTATGAAGTTTCATTTGGCTGGATATGAAATTCTGGGTTGAAAGTTCTTTTCTTTAAGAATGTTGATTATTGGCCCCAACTCTCTTCTGGCTTGTAGGGTTTCTGCTGAGAGATCTGCTGTGAGTCTGATGGGCTTTTCTTTGTGGGTAACCCGACCTTTCTCTCGGGCTGCCCTTAGCATTTTCTCCTTCATTTCAACCCTGGGAATCTGAGGATTATGTGCCTTGGTGTTGCTCTTCTTGCGGAATATCTTTGTCGTGTTCTCTGCATTTCCTGAACTTGAATATTGGCCTCCCTTACTAGGTTGGGGAAATTTTCCTGGATAATATCCTGAAGAGTATTTTCCCGCTTGGATCGATTCTCTCCATCACATTCAGGTACACCTATCAAACGTAGATTAGGTCTTTTCACATAGTCCCATATTTCTTGGAAACTGTGTTCATTCCATTTTACCCTTTTTTCTCTAATCTTGCCTTCTGGTTTTATTTCACTGAGTTGATCTTTGACCTCCGATATCCTTTCTTCTGCTTGGTCAGTTCAGCTGTTGAAACTTGTGTATGAAGTATGCACAAGAACTTGTGTATGAAGCATGCACAAGTTCTTGTGCTGTGTTTTTCAGCTCCATCAATTCACTTATATTCCTCTCTAAGTTGTTTATTCTTGTTAGCATTTCGTCAAATCTTTTTTCAAGTTTCTTAGTTTCTTTGCATTGGGTTTGAACATGTTCTTTTAGCTCAGTGAAGTTTCTTATTACCCACCTTCTGAAGCCTGTTTCTGTCAATTCATCACACTCGTTCTCCATCCAGCTTTGTTCCCTTGCTGGTGAGGAGTTGTGATCCCTTGTAGGAGTAGAGGCATTCTAGTTTCAGGTGTTTTCATCCTTTTTGTGTGCTGTTTTCTTCCCATCTTTGTGGATTTATCCACCTGTCCTCTTTGTAGTTGTTGGCTTTCAGATTGGTCTCTGAGTGGACGTCCAGTTAGTTGATGATGAAGTTATTTCTTTCTGTTTCTTAGTTTTCCTTCTAACATTCAGGCCCCTCTGCTGTAGGACTGCTGAGGTCCACTCCAGGCCCTGCTTGCCTGGAGATCACCTGCAGTAGCTGCAGAACCATAAGGGTTGCTGCCAGTTTCTTCCTCTGCTATCTTTGTCCCAGAAGGATACCCGCTAGATGTCATTCTGAGCTCTCCTTTATAAGGTGGCTCTTTGAATATATGGGGTCTGGAAGCTGCTTGAGGAGACTGTCTGTCCTTTATAGGAGCTCAAGTGCTAAGTTGTGAGCTCCGTTTTTCATTCAGAGCTGCTGGCCAGGTACTTTTAGGTCGCCTGCAGCAGAATTCATAAATCCCTTTTTGTTTTTTCCCCAGTTTCTCTGTCCTCGAGAGTTAGGACTTTATAAGTTTCTGTCATGCTGCTGTCTTTCTTCAGGGCTGCCCTGCCCAGTGAGGTGGCAGCATAGTCACTGCCTGCCTGCAGAGGCTTTGCTGAGCTCCGTCCAGGTGCTGTGTGAACTTCCCTGCAGTCCTTTTTATATGGGTATAGTTAGAGCTGCCTCAGCAATGGCGGCCCACCTCTGTAATGGCAGACTCTCTCTGTAATGGCGGGCTGCCTTGGCAATGGTGGCCCACCTCTGTGATGGCAGACTACCTCTGTAGTGGTGGACTGCCTCGGTAATGGCGGACGCTCCTCCCCCACAGAGCTGGACCATCCTGGCTTCAGCTGTGGTTGCTGTGAATCTCTCAGTCCAGAGCATTTCAAATTGCTGTTTTGTGGGGTTGGGACCAGCCAAGTGTGATCACCTGGCTCCCTGCCTCAGAGCCCTTTTTTTTTTTTTCAGTTGAACTTGAGACTCTGTCTCCCAGGTGTTTGTAGCCTGTTGAAAAGGCACCAGGATCTGTGTGATTTCCTGTGTGGCGAGCCACTGAGCTGGCGGAAACAGCTGTGCTGAGATTCATGGTGCTTTTTTGTCTGGGAATCTCCTGGCCTGGCTCCTTGTTTCATTCCCTTTTATCAGTTGAATCGGCAACTCTGTCTCTCAGGAGCTCCAATCGCCAGCTAAAACGGTGCCTGGACCCGTGTTTTTTGTGCAAAGACCTGTTGCACTAGCCAAAACAGCCACGCTGGTGACCTGTGGGGCTCCTCCACCTGGGAATCTCCTGGTCTGTGGGCAATAAAAATCCATCTGGAAATGTGGTGACCACTCACCCTCTGTGCTTTTGCTGGGAGCTGCAATCCTGAGTTGCTTCTAATCTGCCATCTTCAACATATTAATTTCTAGCACTTTGAAATCCATGCTCCTATCTGTCAGTCAGAATACCCATCTTCTATTTTTTCTATTTCTCTGGTTAACTAACTTAATATGAATTAGATCAATGTTTCTTTTATGTTTGAGCACATTTCCAATGCTAGTATTCTTGCTTTGAGCCTGGATGGCTTTTGCAATGGGTCAATCTAATCCATTACTTGGGATTTTTTTTTTTAATACTATCACCATTATATGTTGACCTCATTTCATTGATCCTAGAAGGAATCCTTTTGTAGTTTCCTGACTATACAACCTTACAACTATACAACCTGACTACACAACTTTACTTTAAATAAAACTGAATGATTGCAAAAAATTTTACCCCAGAGTCTTTTTATTAGGGATTCCTGCTACCATATTAACATATAAAACAGTCTGGATGTTGACATAGAAATGCAAATTTCACTATACAAAGATAAGGCTCCAATCACAGTAACATGGCCCCCATATCTCTAGTATTTCAATGAAATGAACTCATTGTGAATTCACCCCGAGTTTTGTTTATAAATATTAGACAAACCACAAAATAAATTCCAAATACATAACATTTTACAATACTGTTCAAGCACAGACAAATACATACTTTACCTACATTGTTTTCATGATCCAACTTGCATTAGCACTAAAGGCAAGAACGTGTGTGTATATGTATTTGCCATATAAGAGAGTGTGTGTGTGTGTGTGTGTATATATAGATCCACAAATGAACATACAGTGGCATTCATGGAACATTTAACCCTTTCGGGCCATGGGTATTATCCACCACAGTATCTGGGAGGGAAAAGAAACAATAATATGTCACAAATTCCTCAATTGGGACAAAATAAGCACAATTATTTATGAAAAGCATGTATGTTGTGTCTATTCAAAGACACATATATACAGATTCATATATAAACACACACACCAATAATATGGAATATACATATACTCACACACTTGCACACTTGCTTTAAACTCTGTATCTCACTATATTATATACTGTCCATCTCTGGAAGAAGTCTTTTCCTCATTCGATTCAGGCAACTGGTGACTATCTTCTAATACAACTTAAATGTATATTTCTAAAAGACTAATTATATGCCAAGCAAATGGCATTTCAAGATTCCAGTTTAACTTTTGATGGCTGTTTAAATTCAGCAGACCCTATTCTGTCAGCTTCTTCACTTAAAAACATTTCTATTCAACAGTGAAGTTTCCACCTAAGAGAAAAGAGATGTTAGCTGGAAATGTTAAAATAATATATTTATCACTACTTAATATAAATCTGTATGTTTGGATTACATGTGATATTTATCCTATCATATTTTTCAAGGATTTTACAATGGAAAATATATTATTTCCATAATTTAAAAAATACTATATATTTTTTTGAAAGCGTGAGGGCCAGATGATTTGTCATAGTTAGAACGTCAGAGAAATTTATATGATACATGATCAGAAGGGGACTAATTTTGTGCAGACTACACTGAAGCTAGAAAGCCTTATGTTAGAAAGGCTGACTTAGAAGTCTTATGAGAAAAGAACAAGAAAAATACAAATTTCAGTTTCAAAGCTAGCCATCTGCAAGTTTCCAAAATAAATTGTTGAGGCTTCCAGTCACAGAAAATATATTTCTACATCAGTATCAAATTTCAGGTAGTAAACAATCTTTACTGAAAAGCAAAATAAATCACTGAAAGCACACGAGAAAGGAAACCCCTCAAACTTAATGGCAAATATATATTGTCATTTGGTCAACTTCAGGCTTCATGAACTGACTTTCAAAACTTATTTCCAAAATTAAATGTCCAATGAAGCATTCAGAGCTCCACTGAGTGAGTGGAACTGGAATGCCCAATTTAGAAATCATGCTAATGATAAGGTTGGAGGTCATTAGTTAGATAACCAGTGGGCCCTGTATCTTTGTACATTAAGGCAGTGGAATGTTTTCAATCCATGGAGAAGCTGTATGCTCCATGCCATAAGCTCTAGACTCTTTTCTTTCTCCCACATAACACAGTGTCAGTGGGTAGTCTGCATGAGAAGGCATCAGTACCTTGCTGATGGTGCAATGCTCTAACACCTTTTTTGATACCATTAAATCCTTTGATTAAATCCTTTCCATCATGGATTTAATGGTATCAAGGAAGGTACTAGAGTATTGGTCCCCTCTACAGTCTGGTCAGAGAGTCATGTCACTACTTTACCCAGACTGAATTGGTATATCATCTGATGAGCCCTCTCCAGTTTCTCTATGGAAGTCAGATCTTAAAACAAGTGGGAAAGGAAAGGAGTACAATGACCACCACAAAGCATGATCATGGACATGTATCAAAAAGCCAGTCTCTCTCTTTCTCTCTCTCCTCTCTCCCTCCCTACACACACACACACACACACACACACAAGTACTCTTTGAAGTTTCTTCTATAGAATCACAACAAATGGCATAAGGGATCAAAATATTTCCTTTAAAGTTACTCCACTTTTATTTCGATCCACTTAAGCATGTTCACGTTAACTCAGACAGCAAGTACACTGCCCTCCACATCATCGAACGCTGGCATTACCATCACTTTCATAAAATAGACCATTTCCCTGCCATTATTTGCCTGCCAGCCTCACCAGAACTCTTTTTTGCCACTTTTCATTTCTCCAGTTCCTATCTGCTTTCACTCTTGGGTTAATGTACACTGATACACAACTGACTGGCACATCTTTTACCTTTTTCCTTGTAAAACATCTGCTTCCCCAGCCAAAATATATGGACAGAATATAATGAAAATAACAAGTCCTCTTGTCCAAATACTTTGAAAAATGGACCACCCTATGTCCACTTGATGCTCTCAGTTTCTACATCCTCCAGTTCCATCCTCTGTTTTAGCAGCTTACTTACTATAGTGTCTTTCTACCCATTTTCTATCTCCTATGCAGATCATAACAAATCATGGTATTATTCAGCCAAAAAATATTTTTAAAAACAAAGCCAAAACATTAAAAAATTTCTGATATACCTTTTGTGCATTAAGTCTTACAATCTATACATGTAAATAACTCCAGGAGGCTTTTTTTTTTTTGCTAAAAATTTACCAAAATAGTTTGAACACATAAAAATATTTTTAAAAAAACAAAACCAAAAACCCAGCATAAATTTAGTTGTATAGGCATTGGTTAGAGGACACTGTTTGCACTAAGGATTATATTCAACAACTTTCTCTTGGGGTTTTTACTAAAATTCTGATTCTGAACCTTATAGCCTATAATAGTGCCAACTATTAGAGATGGGAAAATCTAATTCAGTCCAATGTATTATGTATTATGATATAATAGACCAAAGGTATACCTATACTATAATGAAAAATAAACATATTTTTGGTTAAAGACCATTTCCTAACCTGTAACTAAAATAACTGTGTTTGATTCAAACTTATTTAAGTGTAGTGCTTAATTATGAAAAGCTAACTTAAAGATTTGAATAATCAATTATGGGTAAGGAACACCTGTTAACAGCCCCGTAACCCTTCAGAACCAGGCATTTACTGAAAAAAAAATCACTAGCATTGAATATAGCCCTTAGTCATGTGAGAGATTAACTTCATGAGCAACCCAGCATGTAGAGGATGAGGTGGACTTTCCCAGCCACCCACTCCTTGAGGGGACAGTAGTATTCATAGTGAAACTGCTCAAACTCTGGGGTTTGGCGGATTTCGCATAAGAAGGAGAGATCAATACCTGACTCCAAAAGGAGGAGTAGCAGGGGAAATACAAAGAGCAGCAGTCCCAGGCCCACCACAAGGAGCCTGGAAAAACTCTTGACCAGTGGGTTCACCCGAATATGGCCAGTCAGAATGTCATAGCTCCATGATAAAGCACGGCGAGCCTCCTTCAGCTCCTCTTCTTCAGCAATCAAAAAGGCATTTTCATCTGCTTCCAGATCCTCAAATGAATCTGTGTCTTCTCTTTCCAACTCAAGTCTGGACGGACAGTCAAAGAGCATGTCAATCTCATCGTCATCCACAGGGGTGGGGAGCAGGCTGGCACTTGGGTTGTACACTAATTCAGAGATGGTTAAGGGCTCTTCTTTTATTTTATCCTCCTCTTCACTAGGGCGATCTTCATACTCCCGGGCTGCCTTCGCTGGGGAGCTGGAGATCAAGGGAGCAGAAATGTTGTCCTCTTTAGGCAATGGAACACCTGTAAAGAGACATTTTATTTTCTAAAAATTTCAGATTTTCCTACAAAAATCTGTAGGAAGAAACAGAAAAAGAAATCTAATGGCATTCAAGCAATCTATGAAATTATTTGGTGGTATCCTAACTTTTAACAAAGTCCTATTATAGTAAAAGATATTGTACCATAAGTTAAAAGGTGAACATGCTAATCTCAGACTAACCAATCAACACTTCTCAAATGGTAAGCAATATTTAAAACATTCAGGTGTGCAATTTTGATCTGCAAACTTCCAAACTTGTTTGTGTTTGCAAGAATAAAATGACAATAAATCACTATTATAATTATGAGCAGTGTTTTTTTAGAGGTCAATACTATCACCCAATATATTATAGTAAAACTACAGAATCTGTCATTCAATGATAATCTACTTATTATTCTGCCTTCTAGTCTTCATTCTAGACAGAATTTTGTGTTCTAGTTTTATATATATATGCAATCATATTGTATACCCAAGCTTAAATCTTACTCCTTGCATTTAAAATTTTAACATAAATATTTTCTATGTTTAAACATATTCCCATTGGTACTATTTATAAAAGCTCCAAATTTTTTATTTAGTTATGCAATTAAATTAGTTGCCTATTGGCAAACATTTAGATTGCTTTGCAGTTGTAAAAAGAAAATGCTGTAAGAGACATCTTTACACAGAAGGCTTCTTTTCCCCTCATTTCAGTTCATTTGCTATAGATAGATGCTAGAAGGGAAATTGCTTAGTCAAAGGGTATGGACTTTTTTTATGTTTATTGACAGAGAAGTGTTTCTGAATGCCTCATTTTACTGATAGGAAATTGAGTCACCTATGGTCAGACCTAGGGCCAACTCTGCTAATTTTGAGTCTTGGGTTGATAGTAGGAAATATAGTTAGCAACAAGAAAGTGTCCCCCAGGATGGATCTATCATACAACCAAAATGGCAGCCAGGTGCATTAGGGAACTGTAAACCAGCTTTTAATGAAGCTATTGTGTGATTTTTCTCTCTTCAAGGTGTGCAGGTATAAATTACTGGTTTTATCATTCAAAAATCAACAGATATTTCATGATAGCTCTAGTCTGATAGCACTGAGCAGTCCACATGAAAAATACCATAAAAATACAAGCAATATACAAAAGGTCAACAAGCACATGAAAGTATGCTCAACATTATTAATCATTAGGGAAATGCAAGTCAAAATTGCAATAAAATGCCACTTTATGCCTACTGAGATGGCAACAATGTTTTTTGAAATGGAGTCTCCTTCTATTGCCCAGGCTGGAGCGCAGGGATGTGATCTCAGCTCACTGCAACCTCTGCCTCCCAGGTTCAAGCAATTCTCTTGCCTCAGTCTCCTGAGTAGCTGGGATTATAGGCATGTACCACCATGCCTGGCTAATTTTTGTATTTTTAATAGAGGAGGGGTTTTACCATGTTGGTCAGGCTGGTCTTGAACTCCTGACCTTGTGATCCACCCACCTTGGCCTCCCAAAGTGCTGGGATTACAGGCGTGAGCCACCATGACTGGCCAACAATTTTTTTTTTAAACTGAAAATAACGAGTGTTGGTGAGGATGTGAAGACATTAGAACCCTGCATTTGCCAGTGAAACTATACGTGGTTGTGGCCATTGTGGGAAAGATAATTGATAGTTCCTCAAAAAATCAAATATAGAGTTACCAGATGACCCAGCAATACCACTCCCAGGTGCATACTCCAGAAAATTGAAAACATGTACTCAGAATGCTGGGACCCAAGAGGGCCGATTAGAGCAGCTGTGGTCGTTGTTGCTCATGGAGATGAGTATAAAGGGGCAAGTAAATGCATTACTTTCAACTGAGATACCCAGGTTCTTGCACTGTGACTGACTTCATGAACAGCTCAACCCACAGAGAGTAATAAAAAGCAGAAGAGGGGGTGACAGCCCACGTGGAAGAGGCACAGAAGCAAAGGAACCCCCACCCCCAGCCAAGAAGTGGTGAGTGATTGTGTGACCCCACCCAGGAAACCATGCTTCTCCCTTGGATCTTTGCAACCTGTGGATCAGGAGATCCCCTGGTGAATCCATGCAACCATGGCCTTGGGTTTGATACACAAAACTGTGTGGAATATCGGCAGAGCAGCCACTCAGGCACATACAGAGACCCAGGAGTTTTACATACTCTGGCCTCAGGATCCCTGGCAAGGCAGGAAATCCATCTGTACATATCCCTAGGAAGCGGGCTGAATCCAGGGAGCCAAGTAGCCTCAGTCTGTGGTCCTCACTACCATGGCACCTCACAAGTTAAGACCTGTCTTGGAATCCCAGACAGCTAATGGCAGTAGGTTAGAGTCTGCTTAAAATGGCTCTAAGTGCAGGGGAAAGGGATGGTCACCATCTCTGCAGCATAGGTGACTTGGTTGCTCCAGCCTGCTGACTGTGGAGAACAGAGACAGATCAGATGAGGAAGGGTACCACACAATGCAGGACAGCTGCCTCCCAGATTGTGGCCAGACTGCTTCCTTAAGTGTGACCCCAATCCATTTCTCCTCACTGCATAGGACCTCCTTGTGGGGGTTTTAGCCATTCTAGGCAGGATTCTACAAACTGAGCTTTGATCTGTCCTTGGGATGGAGCTCCCAGGGGGAGGGGCAGCCACTACTGTAGTTTGGTCAACTCAGCTGTTCCAGCCTGCTTGCTTTAGAGAAGAGAGGCAGTATGAATGACAAAGGGTCCCTGCCAATGCGGCACACCTGCTCTACCAAAAAGCAGCCAGACTGCTTCTTGGGGTGGATCTGTGATCCCAGTCCTCCTGAGTGGAACCTCACAATGGGGGTTTCCAGCCACCTCATACAGGTGCATGAAGGCCACCAACAAGTCTGTACCCCCCGGGAATGGAACTTCCAGTAGAAGCAGCTGGCTCCATCTTTGCTGTTTCATGGCCTTCACTGGTGATACCTACAGGTACAGAAGAAACTAAGGCAACTGGAGTCTGAAGCACAGACCCAGCAAACTGCAGCAGCCCTAGAGTAGAACAGCCTGAGTGTTAAAAGAAAAACAGACAGCCGGGCGCGGTGGATCAAGCCTGTAATCCCAGCACTTTGGGAGGCCGAGGCAGGTAGATCATGAGGTCAACAGATCGAGACCATCCTGGTCAACATGGTGAAACCCTGTCTCTACTAAAAACACACACAAAAAAAATTAGCTGGGCATGGTGGCGCGTGCCTATAATCCCAGCTACTCAGGAGGCTGAGGCAGGAGAATTGCCTGATCCCAGGAGGCGGGGGTTGCGGTGAGCAGAGATGGTGGCATTGTACTCCCACCTGGGTAACAAGAGCGAAACTCCATCTCAAAAAAAAAAAAAGAAAAAGAAAAACAGACAAACAAAAAACAACAACATCAATAAAAAGGATGCCATGCAAACCTCATTCAAAGGTCACCAACCACAAAGATCGAAGGTAGACAAGCCCACAAAGATTAAAAAAAATCAGTGCAAAAACACTGAAAGCTGAAAAAACCATAATACTTCTTGTCATCCAAATGACCACAGCACTTCTCTAGCAAGGGCACAGAACTGGGCTGAGGCTGAGATGGATGAACTGACAGAAGTAGGCTTCAGAAGGTGGGTAATAATGAACATCACTGAGAATGCAAAGAAGCTAAGAATCATAACCCAATGCAAAGAAGCTAAGAATCATAATGAAACATTACAGGAACTGACAGCCAGAATGGCCAGCTTAGAGAGGAACATAATGGACCTGATACAGCTGAAAAACACAACACAAGGACTTCACAATGCAATCACAAGTATTGATAGCAGAACAGACCAAATTGAGGAAAGAATCTCAGAGCTTAAAGACTATCTTTCTGAAATAAGACAGGCAGACAAGAATTGAGAAAAAAGAATTTTAAAAATGAACAAAATCAAGAAATATGGGATTATGTAAAGAGACTGAACCTATGCCTGAATCTGACTGAGGTACCTGAAAGAGACAGGGAAAATGGAACCAAGTTAGAAAATATACTTCAGGATATCATCCAGGAGAACTTCCCCAACCTAGCAAGACATGCCAACATCTAAATTCAGGAAATGCAGAAAACCCCAGTAAGTTTCTCCACAAGAAGATCATCCCCAAGACATATAATCAACAGATTCTCCAAGTTCAAAATGAAAGAAAAAATGTTAAGGGCAGACAGACAGAAAGGCCAGGTCACTCACAAAGGGAAGCCCATCAGACTAACAGCGGCTCAGCAGAAACCCTACAAGCAAGAAAAGATTGGGGGCCAATATTCAATATTGTTAAAGAAAGTAATTTCCAACCAAGAATTTCATATCCGGCCAAACTAAGCTTCATAAGTAAAGGAAAAACAAGATTCTTTTCAGACAAGCAAATGCTAAGGGAATTTATCACCACAATACCAGCCATGCAAGAACTTGTGAAGGAAGTATTAAATATGGCAAGGATAAACCATTACTGGCCACTACAAAAACACACTTAAGTACACAGACCTGTGATACTATGAACCAATCACATAACAAGTCTGAAAAATACCCAGCTAGCATCATGACAGAATCAAATTCACACACAACAATATTAACTGTAAATGTAAATGTAAATGGGCTAAATGCCCCAAATAAAAGACACCGAATGGCAAGCTGGGTAAAGAGCCAAGATCCATCAGTATGCTGTCTTCAAGAGATGCATCTCATGTGCAAAGACACACACACACTCAAAATAAAGAGATGAAGGAAAATTTACCAGCAAATGGAAAACAGAAAAAAGGCAGGAGTTGTAATCCTAGACTCTGACAAAACCAACTTTAAACCAACAAAGATCAAGAAAGACAAAGGAGGTCCTTACATAATTATTAGGAAAAGCTAACTATACTAAATATATATGCACGCAATACAAGAACACCCAAATTCATACAGCAAGTGCTTAGAGACCTACAAAGGGACTTAGACTCCCACACAATAATAGTGGGAGACTTTAACACCCTATTGACAATAT